GTTGAAGTTATGACTTGTTTGGAATAGAGGCAGGATCACATTTCTTCTTTGAGAGCAACTGCTGGCCATGGAAACCCTTTGGCCCCTCTGTGGTTCTGCCAACATTTCAGTCCCTTTGATTTGTTGGTAAACCCAGGGCTCCCATGCAGAGCTCCAAAATCAAACTAATGTTTATTACTGATGATTCCTGTAATTTGGGTCCTGTTTCTTTTTCTCTGCAGAAAGTCTGGGCTTCCACTGTTCTTAGTTACTTCCAGGGCTGTGAACCTGAACAGGACCATAACGATCACACTTAACTTCCTGTATTTTTTAGGAATATGGAAATGCCACTGGAAAAGCAGAGATGTCCCCAGCACTGAGTTTTGCATTTTACTACACATTTTACCAGGCTTTGCTATAAGGAACTGTCAACAGTAAATGTACAGTACTGCAGCCAAGGCAGCCTCTGCAGAGCTTTCTGCCAGAAGACCTTATTCCTTTGAGGAAGACATTGTTCCTTTTCCATCAGAGATGATGTCAGCAGGGTAAAAAATGGGTATGTTATGCACTGGGTCATTTTTTCCCCCATATGGGGCCCTATGTGACCCATAATTGGAAGAAAATTGGTCATGATTAAAGACATGATGTAATGTATACCCAATGTACAGACCATATGTTATGTTCAGGACATGTCCTCTAATTCAGCTGTCTTCACAGGTAGGAGACTGGTGCCAAATTAGCCACTGTCATCTCCATGTGGCTGAACCCAACTCAGAAGAAAATAAGTGTTTACATTTTAGCTGAATCCTTTCAGCTTCCTTCACTTTCTCAGTTTAAGACATATGGATTTGTGGCAGTGATGGGGAACTAGACATTGTGTTAAGCACTCGATTATGCTAATAAATTCATGTTTTATATCTGCAAAAGAATTAATATTGATAAGCATATGTTTATGGGTTTCGTGTTCAGCAGAACCTTCCAGCCATACACCTATGTGCCAGCTCTTTGCAAAATCAGGATTCTAGCAGTTTACACAAGCATTGTAGAAACTGTAAATAGACATGACTTAATTTTAATTTAGGGGGGGAAAATAGGTGTAAAAAATGTTCTACTCAAACTGTTTACAGCCCATAGTAGTCTGCAATGCTGGCTGTGAATTTCTTTGGTCTGGATAACAGCCATGAAGATGAGAGTGCCTGAGCAGGCAGGAAGAGAAAAAATCCTGAAGGGGAATGTGAAGCATGTCTTGTTTTACCCTGAACGTGTATGATTCTGTGAGTTTAACATGTTCAGTTATGTGTTCTGTGATTTAAACAACCAAGAGACAGATCTGCTGTCCCAGACACCAAATACCCTTGCTTTCAGCTGAAATTAGAATGCATGATCAGTCAAACACTGATTCAAATGACAGGTTCAGTGAAAGACACTTAAAAAATTCCCAATCAGACTTGCCTATCAAAAATGAATTTTTCTAGTTCATTTGCATTAAAAAATAAACTGCAGCTCAGTAGGAAGGTTTGTGTATTGTCCTTTCAACAGAGAGAGAGAGAGAGAGAGAGAGAGAGAGAGAGAGAGAAGTGAACTTATTCCTTTCACAACAGAAGTAGAGTTTGACCCCTACGAGATTTTGTCCTCTTGCAATTCATCTTTCCTCGTCTAGAGCTTCAGTAGCATGGTCTTGGCTTCTTTGTCTTTGAGATTTAATGCTATCTTGTTTTTAAAAAAATTAATAAATTCAAAGCTGGTTCATTGGGCCCTAAGAGAAAATGATGAGCTCCCATTGGAGGGTGCTACTGTAAGGAGCATGTTTGTGTTTGTGTTAGAGCACTCAGAGTCTCGCTGCTCAGGCTGGAGGAGTTTCTTGTGACAGATTATCTCTGGTGATATTTAGCAAGCAGCTCACATGCAACAAATAAAGGCCAGACACGTGTAAGACTGACTGCTTCTGGCAGCTTCATATTAAGATCCATTTTGCCAGATTTGCTTTAGACTTTGAAGTCTGTGCTCCAAGAATGGATGCATGAATACCCATTCTGAGCTTGTTTCTGTCATGCTGGAAATGTTATGAAAGCAGTTGGATGCAGCACTTGGGGACATGGATTAATGTGGACCTGTCAGTGTTGGGGGAATAGTTGGGCTCAATGGTCTTAGAGGGCTTTTCCAATGCTTCTCAGACTCTGGAGGGGATCTGCTGTTGTCTGCTGCTTGTTTTAATGCAGCATGGAAAATTATTTTAAAAAAAATATATTTTTTTCTCTGCTGAGAAATGCTGATTCTTTCAAGGGGGCCTGTAGTTTACAAGTCAAAGGGCCCCAGGAATGAGTGCTGACACTGCTTCTTCAGCCTTTCTTCTCCACTCTAATATTTATTGTGTGTTTCACTCACTATAAATATTGCAGACAACCTTGAGCATCCTGTGAAAATTTGTCAATAGACATCCTATTTCTCTGTGCTTGCACAGAGCTGGTCTGGTTCCAGTTCTGCAGCGTTGTTGTACTGGGCTGAGGGCAGCAAATAGATTTCTTCTGCATGTGACATCAGGAATGATACCTGTGCAAGCTCTGGCACAGAAAACCTTTCCTATTTTTTGTAGATACCTTTGTACTTTGCTCTTTGAATCTGCAGCTCTCCTGCTCATAGGTCTCTCAGGTGCTGCATCTTCTGGCCAGTCCTGATATAGCAGAGAATGATGAGAGGACACAGAAAATTAAAGACTGATGGAATACATGGGCTGTTTGCTGCAGCTCAGGCTTACCATCACTCCAGGAGAAAGAGCTTCTGCTAGGCTCAGGAATTTGGGGCATTACTGCACAGATCTCAAGAAAAAAATAAAAAAAAATCCCATTGAATGGAGGGCAGTAGAAGTAGAAAAGCTGAAAGTGTTTTCACCAAAACCTAGGTGATACAAGAATCTGCAAAATCAGTGTCACACCTACAGAAAATCATAGGAAGACAAATTTCTACTTTCTGATACTTTACTGTCATTGTAAAATGACTCCCAGCACAACTGAGCCAAATTTCTCTGAGTTTTCAAAGCTATCAGTAGAAATCAAACAGCTCAAATCATTCAGTAAATGTTCCTTCATGTCCAAACTTACTGGCCTTGACTAAGCTCCTGCATACAAATCTGCCTGTGTAGTATCTTGTGGGGCCTCAGCCTGGGAATTTTGATGGCCATACAGCTTTTCCTTTTCCTTATAGGATTTATGGTTAGATCCATCTAAATGGTACAGTTCCTATATGGAACACTCTCATATGATGTTAGCTTACGTGAACTGATCATTTGAAGAAACACATTTGGCCCCAGAGCTGATGGCTTTGACAATAGGGAATCAAACTACTTTAACTTGCAGTCCCTTGGTATGTTTATTATTCCCAGTACAGTGCATTCCACTGAGTTATTTTTCTAACCTAAATATTGGTTTTCTTTCCTTGGTTCTGGAAGACCCTGAATGACAAAATTGTAGAAGAGTATTTCCAAGGAAGTATCAACATGTCCTTGCCCTCTGCCTCTACTTTTCCCTGGATAATCTTTGATCTGACCCGGGGTCTCCACTCTATTTATATGCAAGGTGATAATGACTCCTGCATTTAGCAGGAATCAGATACAGAGGTGTGGGAGATGTGAGAGGCACCGAGGCAGGACATATCAGGGGCTGGATCCCTACACCTTCTCTGCAAAGTCAGTTGTGTCTGAAGTGCTGCTCTCCAGCCTGCAGGAGTTCAGGGTGACCAGCTTCATGCCTTAAATATCTTTTGTGACTTTTGTTGCTTAAAATTAGGTAAGGGAAAGCTTACCTAAATTTCTGTAGGTCATGCTGAGGACTAACCCTTTCTTCAAGGACTGTCTTGAAAGGGTTGCACAAAGTTACCTTTGGCCCTTCTGTGCATGGAGCATCAGTTGCAGCTGAAACAAAGTCCATGAGCGCTCCCTGTTTTCTGCTCCACACAGCTGGGCTGCTGGCACGCTAGAGCAATTTGCATACACTGATTTAACTGTTGGAAAATCTATTCACACAAAAATCTTCCTATTCTCTTAGACAAAGGATTCCCTCCCCCTCCCCCCCCCCCATTTTGTTGTCAAAATCCTTTTCCCATCTGTTATTGTGGCAAAACAACCTCCTAGTCTGAATGTTTCATTCATGGATAAAGATTTCATTGGAACTTCTTTTAGGGTTGGGGCAGATTTTGCTCACGGTGAAATGAGCGACAAAACTCCCTGTGAGCTGAATTGAGCCTCTCCTGAAAATGAGGGGTTTTTAGTGGAGTTATGATGGCTGTGGACAAGGTCTTGCTGCTCTGCCCTTTCAAAAGAGAACTGTGTCTAGTGGAGGAACAATCAGAATATTTGTCTCTTTAAATGAATGATTCTTAGAGCCTGCACTGAGAGGCAGGCTCCCTCTCTGCGGCTGTGAGGCTACTCAGAGCCTCCAATAAATCAGCGTGCAGGCACTGAGAACTCTGTCCTTGAAGGGATGCACAGTGACCTTGCTTGTGCTTACTCTGGAGGAATAGGGGAAACAGAGGAGCCCAAATAGTGAGCGGTGTGTGACTGAAGGCTCTGCATTCTGCATGCAAATGCCACAGCACCGGAGCCCCGGCACGGACGGCACGCTTCTACAGAGAATGCAGCTTTCCTGACCAGACTGCTGCTACTGCTGTGTTTCTTTCTTTTTTTCTTTTATTTTTTTTTTCTTTCCTTTTATTTTTTTTTTTCTCTTCCTGCAGGGTTCTGAATGAAATCCTCATGATTGTTGCATGCTTGCTCAATAATAGCACGCCCCAGTCACGTCTCCTTGCGAGCACATTTGGTCGGAATCACTGAGCAGAAGCAGAGAAGAGCTGACGACTATGTGCTTCCAACGCAGGTTGCCGGAGCCCCGTGTTTGCCATTGGCTGCAGTTTTCTGGTTTGTGTGCAGCTTCCCCCATCTGGAATATGAAAATGGGATTGAAGTAGATAATTGCTAGCAGCGGGTTTTCAAGAGAGGCTTAGAGGGAACAGAATGCCTCTCACACAGCACAGGCTGCCTGCACTGAGAGAGCTCTGAGAGATGATTTTAGATGTTACCCACGTCTGAATCTCCTGGAAACTTTACCATGGAAGAAAGCCATTGCGCACAGTCCTGGAGCTAACATCCAAAAGGGTCAAGGAAGGGGCAGCAGGGCCAGACAATGGGATACCTTGTCCTTGGACTGGTCACAAATAAGCCAGCAGACATTCCCCTCCGCTCCCCAGCAAAAAGGGCATGAAGGTGGTGATGAACTGAATTTTACCCAGTGAAGCTTCAGTGGTTTTTAAGAAGGATGGGATACACTGACCCTTCGTCAAGCCGGGATTTGCTGGGAAACAGAACTTTGTTCTTCATCTTCATCTGCGCCTTTGCCGTGGTCACCTTGCTGCAGCAGATCCTCTACGGAAGAAACTATCTCAAGAGGTAAGGGGGGATCAGAGGGAATAGGAAAAGTTGTCTGATCGGTTCAGATGGAGCTCCAGGCAAACCATTATAGCAGTTCAAACCACCTCTCAGTGTTTTGCTGATGGTAATAATATCTTGTCAATCTGGGAAGGTGCATCCAGCATCTGTAATGTCTGTTAGATTATGAATGCAGGAGAAGGTTAGGCAGAATATAATGTTTTGTGAGTTTCCTGGATTGTGTTTCAATCCTCAGCTGCAGCAAAAATACAGGTTTTTAATTCAACTTAATCAGAGTCGTGCCACCTGAGTATTTGCCCCTGCACAGACCCTGCCCTACAAGGCTTCCCACTCTGTGTAAGTTCAGGCTAAAATGGCTTGAGAGGTTGAATTGAAGTAGCATGTTCATTGCTGAAACTTCAATGTCTTTAGAAACAGACATGCAGATGCAGCTCCTAAAATCAATATTAGTGTTCCAGATAACCGAGAGAGCACTTTATTTTTGCACTGCTGTGTTCTTGTGAATTGCTGCTGAGACTGCTTCGCTGTAGAGCACATCAGCCTTTGATCTGAAAATGCTCTTTTCACAGCAAACACCAATGGGGCTCTACAAATGTTTACCCTTGACCCATGCAGAGTTTATTTTACTTAAACCTAGTTTAAGAAGTTACAGCTTGCATGATTTTATGAAGATGAATGTTTCCCTTACATACTTTGAGGTAAGTGTTTCAGCTGTGTAGGCAGCTGCTGTGGATTTTTTTACTGGAATTAAGCTGCATTCTGCCAGGAGAGATCAATGGTTTGGTTCTTGCCTTGCTTGCAACTCATGTAGTTGTTTGCCGTGCCAAGAACAAGCAAAATGCTGGCAAATCAGCAAACATTTCTCTCTGGGAGGGAAAAGCAAGAGTGATATTAATATGTTTAGACAAGGGTGTTGTTTATCCACAGAGCAATTTGTGTGTCTTGTGTAGCACAAGGCCTTGTCTGGGGGACTCAGATTTTTGGGCACCTCAGCTCCAGAAAGATGTGACTTCCTCAGCTGGAAGAAGCAGGAGTGAGCAGAAGTATAGAAAACATAGGGGTTTTTTGGCTTGGAGAAAATTGAGGAGAGAAAGGATAACTGACTTGAAATACCTAAATTAAATCTTAGAAGAAGAATGCAATGAATACATCTCTCTAAACACTCACAAAGTGACAAGATGTTATAGCAGGAAAGGTTTGGATTTAACCATAATGGGGAACTTTTAAAGAAAATAATTACCCGAAGAGGTATAAAATCTCCATATTTGGGGGGGCTTCAGAAACCTGGTAGGTGGACAAGGATAGTACTAAGCTTCCTCAGTGTTAAGAATACTACTTTATGACCAGGTTGAGATCTCATCTTGCCTTATTTTCCCAGTTTTTCTCATTTGTCCTGGAGGTGTGGCAGCCCTACCAATCCTTGCTTTTACAAGTCAAAATGATTGCAAGAGGATTAGAGAGAGGAAAAATAAATCCCAAGCACAAATTGAAATGAAAAATGGCAGAGTAAAGATAAAATGATGAGAAGATGCAACCAAAAACTCTTCCACTGAGTGATCTCTGTGGCCTGCCTCTGTCCTGCCTCATGCCCTGGGAACCTCTCCTGTCATCATCAGGGAATGAAAAAGGGCTGATGTTCAATTCCCTGGATTGCAAGGAAAAAGTCTGGTTAGGGGAAAGTCTTGTTCTGAGCCCTCTGCCATGAAAAACTCTCAAGCAGGGAGATGACCATATATTTTGCCCCTTGGACTGGAAAACACTGTTGTTTTTGTTTTTTTTTTAACTCCAGCTTGCAATGACTTTTTTTTTTATAATTTATTTTTTATTAATCATGTGAAAATAGTCTCACAGAGGGCTCCCCTAACTCAGTACAGGAAAAATAAAGCACCTTTCTGCTGGGAATTGGCAGTTCCCACTTTCCATGGAAATAAAAATGCAGCATGTGGCTGTAAGATTTTGGTCACAGAAAGGTTATTTAAGCAGCGGCCTGAGTTGTTACCACAATATTATTATGAAGGTACTTTTTCTTTTAGCTTTCCTGTCCCTCCCTCACTCTTAATGCCCTGCAGTACCTTCTGGTGAGCATTCCAGGGCAGTCTGATTGCCAGCAAGCTCCGTGCAGGGGCAGCTGTAACCTTTATTTACTCTTGCATTTCACAGACCTCCGGTGTTAAGCCCCCTGCTAGAAGCTGATTCTGGCTGTGAGGCTCCTTGGACATGTTGTAACTTGTACCTGGTGGTTTTGGAGAGGCTCCTTGGAGAGTGGAAGTGGGGTATTTATAGCCCTGGTGCCCCTTGCCAAGCTGGAGCTTGGGGATGCTCCCTGAACCCGCAGCCATTTACTCTCTCAGATTCCATGTGCTCCTTTTTTTGGGATGCCTTTCCCTGCATCCCAACACCTGCAGCAACAGCAGGCCCCACGGCCTCTTCCCAAGGCAGCAGGAAGAAAATCCCCCATGTATTTGGAGAAACCTGAAAATTGCCCTAAAGTACTATTTCAGTAAATGTACAGTGCTTTTAAGTCTAAATATAACACCAGGGTAGCTCTTTCCTCTGCTAGAAGATGGTGGAAATGGGCAAAGGCCAGCAAGGCAGGGAAGCGTGATCTAAAACAAGCAGCTTGGGCACAATGCAGGTGACAGCACAGACTCAGGACTGGTCCCAAAAAGAAGAGTGGAGAAAGGTACCCTGTTCTGGGAGAAAGATGGAAAAGTTTGCTGCATGGCTGTAAGCTGTGCCATGCCACTTCCCCTCATAAGCAGGGAACAGGCTGGTTTGATGGCCATGAAATCCCCCCTGAGGCTGTCCATGGAGGGGGCCATGGAGCATTGGGGTCCTGCACTTGCCCCTGGGCTTGTTCCCAGAGCTTCTGTGGGGGTGGCAGGACTGTGGACGGGAAAGGATGCTCCAGGAAATAAGCTGCTCAGTGAAATTTGATAAGGGGCCCAGCCCCTGGTCAAAGTTCTCTCTTTCCATTTATGGGATGTTAATGGGCTCCTGGCATTGCTGGAAGAAGGGGACAGTGCAGAGATCTAATTTCTAGGCATTCGCACATTTTTCACCCACTGTGTAATATTCTCCACTCCTTCCTTTGCAATTTTATACAGTCATTGGAAAGCAGAATCCTGCCCACCTTTTTTTTTTTTTCCCTTTTTCAGTTTTCTCCCAGGTGGGATGGATGTGGGGCTCTCACCAAGGCCAATGCCTCATCCCTGTAGTTGCAGCTGAAGTCCTAACAGGAGAGTCAAACTGCAAGCTGGAGAAATAACATTGGGAAGCTCTGGTCTCTGTAGTGTCTGATCCCGAGTGAAAAGGATGATGAAATGAGATATAATTAAGGGGCTTTAATACCGATCTCTGGGGTAATTATTTTTATTTTAGGATTAATGTGATGATTAAAAATCCACTGCATTGATCTGCTAAAGTAGGTTAAATGCTGGGGACTTCTGCTTAAATCCAGAGCTGCCACTTGCTTTTGTATTGACTCATCTTTCCAATGCTCGCCTTTCAGCTGAATTTTCTTTTGAATCAGATGCTCGGCTGAGGGCTGGCCTTTTTTTGTCAGCTCTTGTTTGGCCAGCAGGGAATAATCCTGGATTACATCAGGAAACTGCCACTACTGTAAAAAAATGTTGAAATCTGTCTTCATCTCCCAACCTGTAGCATGGGAGAGATCAATAGGACAGTCCTCCCCTTTGGCAAGGGAAAAATATCAGAGCAATACTTTGCTATATACCAATATTCTGTTGGTAGGAAATTCACTAAATTCTGGGTGTTTTAACAGACTGACCTCTGCACAGGAAAAGTGTCAGCTGAAGAACGGAATCTGCACCTTTAAAACTCCTTTTTTTTTTTTTTCAGCTGAGTGATGAGAACACATTTCCAAAACTATTAAAGACTCTAAACAAATATTACCCCAGGGCCTGCCAGAGGGTAAATAAAAGATCTCAAAGAATCACACAGAAAGAGTCAGCAAACCTTCCCATGCAGGCAGTCTGCATTATCTGAAAGCTTTGCACCTTCTAAATGAGACTAAAACATCACTCTCATGTATGTGTGCCCTTTTACTAATATCAGAATCTCATGACCTGAAGTAAGCCCATAATTTTTGAATATCTTAGGCAGCTTTTATTCAACAGCTGCAAGTCAATTCCCAGGCATCTTTACTTCTTTCCTTACAAGATTATTTGCGATCACCTTCTACACTGCATGGACTAAAGGAATAAACCCAGAGAAAATAAACCTGAGCTACACATTTCAGAGATTATTTAGTCTGTACCCTAAAATCATGTTTTTCTTACAGCAGGGACATCAGAAATTGCAATGGGGACATGGAGGCTACATGTGACCCAAGCTGTATTTTGTCTTAAACTGTTTTTTTGTCCTAACTACAGCCAGCTCAGGTCACTTGAGAGCTCCTGCCCCATCCCTGGCACACGCTCCTCTGGCCAGCTCATAACACCCCATGGATGTGTTAACCATAACCTAAGACCTTCTATTCCTGTGTAAAAACTCTTCTTCCATTTAAATATCTTCCCCAAGAGACGTAATCTGAAGGTCATCTAGTGAGTCATCTCTCTCTGGTCACACAGCTCTATGCATCCAGCTCTAGCTAGAGGGAATTACTACCCCACAGAAATTACATGTATCCTGTGAGTCATCTGGATGAATCCCTGACAAGGCACTGGGAAGCTCTTGGGTTTGGGAGGTTTCATGCAGAGAAGAGTGTTGTGAACTTCAAAACAAAGCAAGGTCTTCAAACAATATAGAACACACACAAAAAAACCCAACATGTTTACGGGATATAGCCATCACCTTAAAGTGACCAGATCTAGTAGAGCACAGCAGGAGAAGCTGAGACTCCTGCCATGCTGTTCCTGCTACAGGGCATTCCCAGGACCATTTCATGGGGTGCCAGGCATCCCTGTTGCCAATGGGGTGGAGAGGGCAGAAATAACAGAGTGCTGATAGATTAATTCAGCCGTCCCCAAAGTCATGGG